CTATATAAAGAATTATAGTTATCTGAAGGCTTAAAATTTGTCTACTTGTAAAGTTGAAATATGAATGGGTTTTTATAGTTTGTATTCAACGCTATATTCCCTTTTCACGAGATAGTGCAATGCTAGTTTCATAAACATATATTAACCATATGCTTCAATATTTTAGAGCACTAACTGTATTTCACCACGTGCACCCTATCTCTTTCCCATTTTAAAGTTTCACTGTATATAATTTGGTTTCTTTCACATTCTTGCATTTCTTTATTAATTAAAATGCAATTTTATTTTGAAACAGTTTCACAAAATATGTGCTCACCCATGATTGCAACTATCTAAATTCTAAAATTTCCTCTGAGATCCTTTAATATTTCATTACTATAGACAATCACATGTATTATCACGGAATTTTAAAGGAATTCCTTAAGAATTCCCAAGGAATTCTTGAAGTTTATGAAATCAATTTAATATTTTAATTCATAAACAATACAACGATACTAATTAAAAGTATTTGTCCCATGTGAGAATATCTGAATTTAGAAAGTTACTGTAAATTAATGTGAAAAAGTTGCTGTTATACAGTGTGAAGATAAAGATATTCATCCGAATTCCAAGTATGATTATATAAACAATTAAATTAATCTGTAAAACGGGTAAATAGATTTCTCTTATTTTATCCATGTATACATGATCTGCTAGTAAAGAAAAACAGCTAGTTGCCAAAGACTAGAGTTGAACATATTGTGAACTAGCCATTGGAATGATTCTCCAGGTTCACAAGGGGCATATGGAGCATATTTCATGATTTGCTACCTGAATTGTCCACATGGTTTACAAGCACATACTGGATATAAATATTAGTTATGCAGTATCAAGTGTAGAATGTAGATGCCCAAAAATTAAATCCTGAAAATTTAATAGACTGTACATATACTTTTTGAGATATGTAATAAGAGGATGTTTATATGGGGGCGAGGCTGGATGCCCGGGGTTAGGGGCTACAGACTTAAGGTCACTATTCCTGAAGCAAGATCTCGGGCTAAAGGGGCGGAATCTCGCTTAGCTATAGCTGGGCCCGCTCTTTACCCATATATACACAAAGTGAACTTTAGTAAGAAATAACAACAAAGGCAGGATCTCGCCAAAACTGGGCCAGCTTGGGTACCCTGGGGTTGGCTTGTAGTTGCACCATATAAACAGCCCCTATATATCGGCAGTATATATTTTGTCTGGTAATTGGAGTCTTTGGAGATTTTGTGTGTAAATGAATATAAAAATGACCCTTTACGGGTGGGTTGAGGGGGTGTTTCTGTCAACATTTTGGAAAGCAATAATATTTTATTAAAAAATTAGAATAATCACATATTAAATTCTGATTGTAGTATATATTGTATTGTGTGTGATTAAAGTAAGGTTATTTTTGTTTACCCCACCTCTGCATGCAAGGATTTTTTGGCCACCCCACCTAAAGCAACTATTATTTTTCAGTTACCCCACCATTTTCTCTTCGGCCCCCACCCCTGCCATAAATAATGACCGGTCCCTTAGTATATAATTTCTTGTTTAGATAACGAACATTTTAGACGCCTACATACTACGCAAACAAACAAGCTATAGTCTTAAAATGAAGCTAAAAAAATGCTCCACAATATTCCCTTATTCTTGAAAAGAGAAAATGCACAAATTCTGCGAAAACATTGCCAATAATTATATAAACCTGCTCGTGAACGTGCCGAACAAATTTCGGCGGCCATCTTTCTTCTCTTCCACTTTCAATACAAAATATCCCATTTTCATCAAACAAAATAATTTTTTTTTTACTTGTTATTTAAATCTTCGTCTGAATCCTTCTATTGTTCAAACCGCTTAATAATGGAGGACGTGTGTATGTATGTATATATATATATATATATATATATATATATATATATATATATATATATATATATATATATATATATATATATATATATATATATATATATATATATATATATATATATTTAACATGCAATTATTCGCCGAAGGCGAGGTGATTATCGGTGAATAAAAACCGGGACGAAGTCGAGGTTTTTATTCACGATAATCACCGAGCCTGAGGTGAATAATAGTTTTAGTATAATTTCATAGGTGATTATATGGAAAAAATAAAAAAATACACATTTCTTCGTCATTTAATTGACAAAAAGGCTTCGGCCGCCATTTTGAAAATCGCTTAGGTGATTATCGCGTAATAATCACCTCAACGGCAACCAATCAGCGTGGAGAATTTTCAATAATCACCTATGTAATTATACTAATAG